GTCTCTAAAGTGTGAAACAGCTTGGTACTAAAACTTCTTAAACCTAAACTCAGGATGCCTTGCCAGTGGAAGTGGTAGAAGTACTTCTAATCCTAAACCTCTACAGGTGCAATTGTAAATGGTTGCTTTTACTATAGCTGAAATGCATGCATGTGTGTCAAATTCCCACTGGTCATGGGGATTGAAAAGTTATCGCAGCTGTAGTTCCTATCCAAGTCCTATGTACAAAAAAGTCCTCTTGGATTAACTATACGTGCTGCCATTAAGGACATAAAAATGTTACAAGCTGTAAATATATAAGGAATACAGGACAAAGGAGCAACTCAGATGGTTAGTTTCTTTTCTTCTAAACTTCTTCAGTATAGAAGTTAGTCTCCTGTTCAAACTATTTTGGAAGGTAAATTGTGCAAGTGATAGCAAATTGTAAATCAGCTCCTTTGTGATGGGGTTCAAAATAATTTATGTAAATGGCTCTTTGTAACATTTCTGCTGAATTCAGCAGTGGATTTGTTACAAAAATTTCTTGCCACAGCTATTGCTGATGTGATTCTGTCACAGATGGAGCATCTGGTGTGACGTCTTTAATAGTAGAATTTAAAAGAATTTTCGGTGACTGTATAGAATGCAGTATAACATAACTAGTGGTCATGTGAACCCTATTGACTTTGGCAATGGTTCGCTGGGCCATTGGAGCAGTGACTGCTTGGCTGTGTGATCAGATACCCTTTGGATTTCGTGGAGCGTGGCTCAGCATCGGTTCCTTTATGAGGGGCAGAACAGCTCTCTTAACTGAGTGAGTCACCTCATCTATTCCAGTCGCCGTCCTCCGAGTGTGCTTTAGGCTCTTAAAGTTTACCATGTTCTGACTTGAGCCAATTAGTAAAAAAAGTGATGATACATCTCAGGGTCCAGTACCATTCTGTAGTGAGTTTTAAAGAGTGTAAGATTAATACCCTTTTTTTATCGTATGCTTTGACCAAGTACCAAAGATTAGCTGAAAGCTGTGCTTTGCAAGAAAACACTGCTTTGTTGTTTGCCTGCTGTTGTCTTCTATAATCAATACAGTTTTCTCCCAAATCTACTTTGTTCAGTCAACTGTAAACAAAAATCAAGCATTTCTAAATAAGAGGATGAAGTCATAGGCTGCTTTTTGGCACCACAAGCTCCTCCAACAGGGTAAGACCTGACATCTGATTACATAGCTAAGATGATACTTCTGAACCTATATTGATTGTCCAAATGGCAAAACTGTTTTTCTGTCTCTTGCAAGAATACCAAACTTCGGAGTTTAACCTACCACCTCTTCTACTAGAAATGAGCACAGTTGCGTAGTGATACCCATGCTGTGTGCTGGTGCAGAAGGGGCTAGTTTACTCCATCCTGCGTGTTACGGTGGTTTCTAACTTCTGATCACTAATAATGTTCTTGCTAGTGCTGGAGATAGGCAAAAATTTTCTTGAACTTTCTTGAGACTTTCAGAGGCAGTAGAGGCCTGTCCTGTATCTTCCTAGACTTCAGTGTGCAAGTAAGTCAATCACTGGCTGACAATCCCCATCCTAATAGATTGTTGTTGTTCAGTTATTTAACTCCAGCATAATCTTTGTTTGAAAAGAATTTGTTGTGCGTCTTATAGAATAACCTTTTATATCATTAGTATCTGTGATAGTTTTTTCCTTTGGGAAGTGATTCATGTCATCTTGCAGATAGGGAAGACATAAAGCATTGTTCTGCAATCACACAAGAAACCCTATTCATTCATAGTTTATATTGTGAAGCCAATCCTGTATCCTCAGGGTTGGAGTTGGTTTCGTGGCAGCAGTCCTAATTACAGAATCTTTCTATAGTATATCTGAACTGGGGGCTGTCCTGGAGTCACAACTGGCATGAAATGGGAGGCTGGAAAGAATGAAGTATGAATGTTTCTTAACGCATTCAGTCTTTCCATTGTTGCTATTCATAAATAGTAGCTTTTTGTCACCAACTGAAAGTCACAACAAAAGCCCATTCAAGCTAAGCTCGAGACCGGGTTCCCAGATCTCATCGCAGGGATGCTCTTCTCCTAGGTTTTGTCTTGACGACGTTTACATGCTGGATCACGTTTGATGCATCACTGTAAAATAAAGCTGCAAGCTGAGCATGTGCTGCCTTGGTTAAGCCAGCGAAAAAAAGAAAAAAACAGTTTCCATTCTGCATCTATATGCATTTGTACTGCCTATACAATTTTTTTTTGTCTTGCATAACTGGAGTACTCCAGTACCTTGGATAAACTTAGCATGTTTTTGCAGACAGTGATAATAAGGCAAGTAGTAAATAATCACTGAGAAGACATTAGTTCATCTGGTTGAAAAGAAGATACCAGGTTTTGGTGTTGATTCTTTGATTTCTTCCTTCGCTGACACAGCAGTAAAAGATGCTGACGACAGAGGCAGGAGGTAGCAATCTTGTGAAAAGTTTGTGTCTGGATTATGTTGATTCCTGGGTGTGAAAGTACCAGAGAAATGGAGACAAATTGGAAGGAGATTAGAGAATGCAGCAAACATGGCTGGAGGGCCTGCCTTATACTGAAGCTGAAAGGGCTGGCTATTTGTAACATGGCTGAGCAATGGTTTAGGGCATAAGTGCCTAAAATTATTTGGGAAGTATGAAGTGGAAATGGTGGGAAGGGTGTTGTTATCGGGCATAGCTGGAAATACAAAGTTGAACTGAAAAAGAGGCAGTTTAGTCTGGGAATCTGGGAGACCTTTTCATTGAAGAACTCCTTGTGGAATAATCTTACAGAGACAAAAATTAAGGAATAACTTAATCAAGAGGTAATTGTTTCGCAAACTGGGTATAATCCCAGACTGTTCTCTGGTGGTAAAAAGATGGCCAGTCTCTCCTTGCTGTATATGACACAGAGGGAGGAAGGAGCTCCAAGAAAGTCCCATGCTTTTTCAGAACCAATAGTAATTCTTCATCAGATCTGCTGTCCTGAAGACTTCGTCTTTCTCTGCATATTATCTAACTTTTATTTCAGGAAATGCCAGAAAGCTTTTTTTTTTTTTTTAGTTGATGGAGGCTCAGAAAAGGAAAAGCAGCAGACTTCTTAACCTAAATGTGTTAGACAGACAGCACTCTCAGTGAGCCCGTGGATGATTAGACTTTTTGGAGGCATAGAAGCACAGGTTTTCCTGTCTGAACAAAGCCCATTAAGTCCTATAAGATGAAGATGTTGGGGAGCCAACAGTACTTTTTTTAACTGTGGCAGTGATTCAGCAGAGCATTTAGCATACCTGATAGTGAAGCCTGAGAGGCAGTGACTGGAGGGTGTGGAGTCTTATTACCTAGGCTTATGGCTGATGGTGTAAGCACCCCGGGGTTTAAAAACGGTTCTGTTTACGCCCTTTATCCCCTGGCACCCTGACTCACTGCTGTGGCACACCTCATACCTCTGATCATCCCTCTGGAAGGCCCTCCCATGCCTATGGGGCTTTGGGGCAGTGCCAGTGGGTGTAGAGGGGAGCAGTACAGGCTGGGCATGGAAGTGTACTGTGAAGCTGGCCCTGGTACAACATGCAACTTGGCCTGCGGTGTTTGATAGGCAGGTGGCAGCCTGTTACAGATACCAGCATGGTAGTTGGAGCAGTTAGTTCTTCGTCTCGAATGCAGTTGTTTTGATGCTTTATATAATCCAAAGAACAAATCAGGAAGGTTTCTTCACAGTGTGCGATTCTACTGAACTGCAGTTAGCAGACATGGCACATCACATCACAAATTCCATCAAATACTCTTAAATCAGTGTTTCTCAATTTGAAATTAAGGTGTTAAAATATGTAAAATGTGAATGTTCAGCAGTCTTGTACAATCCCCAGTCTTTAATTACAACAGCACCAAACTCTTAAGGTTTCCCTTTTGTGCGAGACATTTGCACGGGCTTATGAGCAAGGATGAGTGGGATGTAACATGCATAGAGGGCAGTCCTTTCATCGGATGCAGGTCTGACCTTTCACATAGTGCTAGATATTTCCCTTTGAAAACAAAAGAAACCCATGCTGCAGTGTGACTTAGCTGTGATTTAATCACGTTTTATGAAATGGATTTCTTGTTTGTACAGGGACAGAGGGTGCTCAGATTTTTGTTGGGGTGTTGTAATTTGATTCTTGAAGTATTCAAGAAAGATGAAGCGGTGTCTAAAATTGAAGACCCTTAAATCTGGCATTTCTTATCTTTTCATAACAAAGTTAAGCAGCCTTTTTTTTCCCTGGTGCAATTCTGACCATGGTGATAGGCAATGGCTATGCAAAGTGTAAATCACTCAATTCCTAGTTTTCACAGGTATAGGCTTTGTACAGATGTTACTTTCTGCTCTTGATGTCTATACCAGCAGACTTATTTATTAAAATATGCTGCTATTTATGTGTTGTAAGAGAATGAAAAACAGTTATTCCTCCTTCAAATATTTTGCCATGGTCCCTGAGATCTTGGTGAAAGGCTAATGGAAGCCAACATGGCCTTTACTAAAGGCCATGCATTCTTACAGGCATTCATCTACTTTGCTCCAGGCTGTTTACAGCTTTTTATAATCCAGAGAGTTTGGAAATCCTGAAAGTGCTTTTCACTACTGCTTTTTGCCTTATCTTTAGTCTTGGAAAGTGAAAGTCAGAAATTCACAGGAAGGTCAAAATGTTTTGCTCCATTAGAATTCAAGGTACTGTCTTGTTCAGTCTGGAGAGGAAAAAAAGAAAGTTTGGAAAAAAAAAAAAATTAATGAGTGGTTAAAATAGAGCTGTTAAAATGGCAACACACAGACAGCCTGTTTATAAATATAGGCTAGCTCCTCAGCAGTGTTCTTATATGGTAGATCTGAGTGAAGGAAAAATATCAGCCTACTCTTACTCTGTACAAGCCTGTGTGTTGGTTGTTACAGTCTGGTGCCATATGTTTGGTAGTAGACAAGGCTGCATATTACATGGAAATGATGACTCTTGCCTTTTTTTTTTTTTTTTTTTCTTCTGTTGCAGGGACCTACCTTACCAGTACGAGAGGGGAATCTCACAAGCATACTGTGGATTTTTTGTTTGTACATGCTACTTGATTATCTTTTACTGACCCACCCAGAAAGAGAAGAGAGGTCGAACAAAAATCCTTGTCTTGTCACTTCTGCCTAGAACTGGCTGAATTTTATGACACGTGCTGGAGAAGCTGCCTGGGCCATTGGAAATGGAGCGGCTCATGCTGCATTTCTGATCAGCAAAGCTTTCTGCATGGAGTACAAGCATCAAGTTGCCTTACGTTAAACCATAAGCAAGTTGCACTATTTGTTGCAACTGTACCGCTGATACCACTCCAGACTTCACTAGGTCTTTCCAAGGCAGTAGTTTCTCATGTAGTTTGAATGTTTTCAACTGACACTTGAATGTTTTTTTTTATTATTATTATTATTATTAAATCTGGTGTGGCTGTGAAAAGTGTTTGTGGGGCAAACTTTTTGCTGTTAAGTTCATGGTGCATTTTGAAGCCTCACTTTCAAGTGTGATCCGTGCTATGGCAGCAACCTACAGGCTTATGGTCACTTCTGTGAACTGCTACAGCAGTGTGGTGATAGACCAGCACTTTCAGCACACTGTGCATTACTGCACAGGGACTTGCCAAGTCTTTAAGCAAGGAGTTACATGCGTAGTTGCCCACCACAGTGTCTGCGCAGAGCTCAGTGTCCAAGGTGCCAACCTAGACCATAAAATTCCCATTCCTGAAAATGGACTTGCCTTGCCTGGAAATGAGGACTATCAGCAAATCCTTCCAAATAATCCAAGAATCAAAAAGGGCTCTTCAGTGCAAGCCTCCAGCAGTTTAAAAGACATTACTGGTGAGGCGATAAACCTTGCCAGTGGTAAAATAAAGGAATTCTCCTTTGAAAAGCTCAAAAACTCTTCCAGTCATGTGGCCTACAGAAAGGGAAGGAAAGTTCGTTCAGAATCATTCAGCAGACGATCATTTGATTTTGACTTGATTTATGGGCAATTCAGCAATGATGAGAACTGCCCTCCATGTGCCTTTTTGCAGAGTCCCTCACCTGTGGAGAAATGGCAGGAGAGCAATGATGCTCCAGAAGTCACCATGAATCCCATGGTTCCCTTCTCCCCTCATTCCTTTGCTGAAGAAAACTTCATTACCCAGATTTTGGAAAAACACAAGCTAGATGGTTCTTCTGGTGGAGATATTAAGGTGTGCTTAGACATCTTGCTCAAGTGCTCAGAGGATCTGAAAAAGTGCACAGACATCATAAAACACTGCATCAAAAAGAAGTCTGCAGGCAGTGTTAGTGGAGGGAACAGCAATGATCTCCTGGCTAATTCGGAAATGGTATATATGAATCTGATGACAAGATTTTCTTCGTACCTGAAAAAGCTACCCTTTGAGCTCAAGCCGCCAGGACACAAGGAAGCTAGTGACTTGGCAGAACTAGTTAACTGTTTTCACGGCTTGCAGCAAGCTCCCTTTCCCCCAGTATTCGGAGATGAGCAGCCACCTAGGTATGAAGATATTATTCAGCTGCCATCCTCGAGTGCAGTTCCTCTTGGACTACCAGGTGATCAGCATGAGGTGACAAGCACCCCTCAGTCCATCCAAACAAGTACTGTGAGCTTTACCTCAAACTCCCTTCACAGCGTCCCACAGGAGAACAGTGTGAGAGCTGTGAAAGATGCTTGTGCTCTACCTCAGTTACCAGCCAAAAGCCCTTCTGACTGCACATCTCCCGCTGAGGCTCTGTACATTGAGGAGGAGTCTGATGGGGAAAGAACATTAGGGAAAATAAAGAAGGCAGAGCAGAAAGGGGGCTGGGAGAGTTTAGAGCACAGCTACCAGCTAGCTGGTTGTTCAGATCTAACTGCCGATGTTAAAGTGGAACATGCCAGAGTGGGAGGTGTTGAGCTCCCCCATGCTTCTGAGAAAATTACTTCTTTAAAACCAGTTTCAGATTCTGCATTGTGTCGTTCCCAAGCTGATGTCTCCAAAGGAGAACAGATGTGCAGCACGGTAGACAAGGATGAGATAGACAAACTGCTGCTGGATTTGGAGTGCTTCTCACAGAAAATGGAGAGTACTTTGAGGGAACCCTCTCTAAAGGAGAGTGAACCTGCCCGTTTGCAGGTGTTTGGCTGGCAGGGTAGGCAGGTACTACCTCTGGCTCTTGAACCCAAAAGTAAACCCATTGACCCCACTTCCCCGTTGTCAAAAATCATGGAAACCAATGGTCATAAAATGGAAGAGGATGACAAAGCCCTTTTACTGCGTATCCTGGAAAGCATTGAGGACTTTGCCCAGGAACTAGTGGAATTCCAGACAGGCAAGGGAAGCTTGTCCAAGGAGAGGGAAGTGATGCAGATTCTTCAGGAGACTTTAACAACTCCTTCACAGTCCCTCCTTGCAGGGCAGAAAAGCTATGCTGGGGCTGCCTCTAGAGACTCTGTTCCAGCTTCAATTCAGCAGGCCCCAGAAGTGATTAAGGTAAGAGAATCAAACCTTTGATGGGATAGTGAATAAAACAAACATGGGAGAATGGGCGGGAAATTACATCTGCGAAGTGATCTTCTGTGTTTTGGATGCTGCAGTGTGGAATAACATGTTCAACCTGGCAGAAACTTAGCACGTATTTAAATGCAAATCAAAAAAAGGACACTAAAACCCCTACGTAAACAAAATATGCCCTGATGTGCAGTTTCACTTTTGAGCATGTCCCTTCCCTGTTGGTGCTCCTGTAAGGCTGTTTGCTTGTGGTTTAAATGGGTCCCATATAATATATAATAATTTATTCCTAGGAGTGGGTATTGGACTGCCTTTCATCAGTTCAATGAGAACTGAATGCTCCACCTCTCCTTTTCCTGTCTCCCAGCAGACTCCCAACAGCCTTTGTTGTTCTCCTCATCACTAGTTCCTAAAGAGAGATCTTCCACGGCACAAAGGTCAGAATCTAGGAAGATTTCATTTTCTTTTCCCTGGCTCCAGTGCATAGTGTTGCTGTGGAGTCTGCATTGTATGTATCTCTCAAATGAGGAGTAGGTTTTCCCAGGAAAAGAGGTCTTGATGGGAGCCTGCTTCAGAGGGAAGCCAAGGCTGTCTTCCCAGCCCTCGGTGCTTTTCACTTGATAACAAGTGCCAAATTTTCAAGACAACTTGGTGCCAAACTTAAAAGTGCACAGAAAGTATACAGGGCTTCAATTTCCAAAATCCACTTAAAGTGCTCACATTATAAGTGAACTTTCACAGCTCCTTCCAGCTGGAGCATGATGTGTGTGTCTTCAAAACTGTCCATTTTCCTGAAAATACAGGTATTTGGTGCAGTCCTGAAAGGAGGTCGGTGGGGTGTGTCTGACACTAAATGACAGTGCTGACGTCTTTTTAGACTAGGCCCTCCAAGGGTTTCTGATGTTTCTCTGGGCATCTTTGCTTACAGAAGGTGGTGAGCCAGCAAGGGAAAGTCTTTTTCCTCAAAGAGTGTAGAATTAAGTATCTCCAAAAGCTCTAAAGTGATCCCTTACAATAGCTATTCTTGCCTTATATATTAATTTATAACATTTTTTAACTTGTGAACTTCAAGAAAAAATGTGTTTGATAAAGTGTGACGCTGACTTTGTGGCAGTTTTTCTGTAATACTTGAAAATTGCATGCATTTACACTGTCAAATAGCTTATAAGTCTGGTCCCTTACCAGCTTCTGTTTCCCTAATCGCCCACCTGTGCGTTAGCTTGCTCCCAGCCTGCCTTCTACAGACATACAACATGCACCCATGCTACAAGAACTCTTCTCTTCCATATGGCAGCACAACCCTTGCTTTGTGTAGATGCCTAGAACCAAAGATCAGGAGAGAGAATAACTGTTTTGGGCACCCAGAGGCGCTGCAGGGGGCCTGGGCTGAGCACTGCACAGCATGGATGCAGCTGGTACCCTTCAGAGGGAGTTAGTCCTTAACAGAGTGGACACACATCATCTGAACTGCTGGTTCCACGCTTACTCTGAGGTTTGCTGTTGTTTGTGGCCACATCTATACTATACGCTTGGCTATGGATACAAGGCCCTCTCTAGGTATAGCATCTAGGGAATAGATCCGTGTTCCTGGATAACTCTAGATCTGGCCGGAGCTCCACGTAGATTCTGATTGTATTGCACATGTGTGCCTGAATGAATAATATGTAAATTATTTGTTACATTTTCTTAGTGCTTGTAAAACTGTTATCCAATAGTTGTGCGTGTGCACAGAAACCCCAGAGATCTGATACTGATGAAAACAGTAAGTGAAGGTACACCATGTTTATATATATACTTTTTATTTATGAAGGTTGTGACGGTTTTAATATCCCTCAAATCCTAAGCAGTGAAAAAAGAAAGGGAGAGCCACTTCAGACCAGACTGTTTGCTGACTCAGTTGGCCTATCTGTGTTGAAATCTGTGCTAACTTATCAGCAACAGATTTTTCCCTTTATCATAAACCCAATTATGATTCTCCATAGAGAACAATAGAATTACTTGGCTCTTCACTTTCAAAACCAAAATATTTAGAAACTAGGGCATGAATACTCAAGTAGTCCATCAGTTTTACAGAGCACGTAATGAGCGCATCCCACTTCTTTCAGGCAGGCCGGGAGTCATTGCATACTTCTAGACTGTCCAACATTTCCCATTCTGAGATCCAGTTTTCCATTGCTTATCTCTAAACCTCCAACTACTTGGTTTAAAATTTCCTGTTCTGTGTGCCTGTCTTAAGCTGATCTTTTAAAATATTGTCTTTGAAAGAAATAGTTCAGTGAAAATAGTTCAGTTGTCTGTCAGAGGCTAGCAAAACCTCCAAATATTTATCTATATTTTTGTCTCTAGATAGGAGGGCAATAAGGAGCAAAGCCTGGGTGGACTGGCAGGTGTGAGGGAAATGAGGGAAAATACAACCAGTGAGCAGTGAAGAAGGTGGAGATGGAGCTGTAGGGATTCTCTGACCTCATCTGTGGAAGTGCTTAGTGTAGGGTTTTTTGGGGGTTTTGGTTGGGTTTGGTTTGAGTTTTGTTTGTTGTGGTTTTTTTTTTTTTTCTTTTTGGTTGGTAAAGGGTGCTACATTTTTAGTAAAATGTCATCTTATGCAAAGTCCTTGGAAAAGTCAGTGGTGGATGTTTTTGACCTTAACCTCTGTGCCCTTGGTCTACCACCTGTACAGGATGACAGAGTATTTAAATTCGGTTAACACTTGCAGAATACTTGGTACTCTAGTGAAAGTACCCTAGAAAAGTCTGCAAGAAACTTATTCATTCTGTTTTCAGAATCAAGTTTGAGTAGTGCAGGGCTCTGCTCCAAGTCCTGCTCATGCATTTTATTTTAAGAGCTATTGGATAAAGTTTGTGCCCCCCCCCCCCCCCCCCCCCCCCTCCTTCCTCTGGTTCTCCCTTCTCAAAAGGATTACTCATGGTGTGGCGAGCCAGAAAGAGCAGTCCTGCCTTCCATTTTTCCATTTCTCTTTCTCCCATGCTTCTACTTCCTACTGCATGGTTTTGAATCTTTCTTTATACTGGCTATGATGCTTGTATAGAAGATACTTCTTGTGTTTTAATTAGGTTTGTGTTCTGCCAGATTGGTAAATGGAATTGCTCGTGCTGAGATCAGGTGGGTGGTACGACTGTTTCTGGGCAGGGACTGTTGATCTGGGAGCAGAGGAATTACAGTTTACAGAGTTGAGAAACCATGTCAGACAACCTTGTCTAACCATGCAATATCTCAGATGGTAGAGCCCTGAGGCAAGTATCCAGAAGCCATTCCCTGCTGCCACGTGTTTCCTCTGGGCTGGCTCTAGATAGTGTCTTATCTAATCCTGCCTTGCCTGAATGGCTGATGGGGTAGGTATTGCTGGGGCTCTTAGAAGTGTTCCCGACTTACTGTGATCTCAAACATTGCCCTGAGGCCACATGCTGGGCTCTTATGTATCAAAATATCTATGTTGCTTACTTAAATAGGTGGCCCAAAATGGCTTTGAGTGGAATTAAGACTGTTTCATAACCACATATAAAGCTAAGGTTGACCTGGCAACTTCATTTTGAAGGGGCAGAATTATGCTACTTCATAATTCTGTGTGCTACTTCATTTTGCAGATTTAATGATATGCTTATAAAGTGGTTTGGATGGGGCAATTAACTGTAAAAAGTGTCTTCCATAACATAGTGACTTTAATTTTGTAATGAAACAACCACATTTTCTCAAAATGCATCCAAAATATAATGGAAAACTTTTTTCTGGAAAATCAGCTTTCATGTACATATATTGCAATTTGTTTTGATCAGATATTGATAATATCTGTCAGCTAAGCTAGACAGACAATCTGCATTCTTCTCAAATATCAATTATTGATTATTTCTAAACCCAAATAGTAAAAAAAGGTTTGGTAATGGTTATTGGAATAAATTAAAATAGTAAATGAATCTTAAAGTATTTCAGAATCAAAAATAACACCAAAAAATTTAAATCAGATTAAATTAAAGAGTTAAAAGAACTGATGCCAAACACTTAGGGACATGTTCATGGCATGCAGGCGCCTTTTGTAATCAGGGCAGATACAATCTGCTTGTGTGAAATTGATCTATCTCAAAGTAGTCATCTAAAGGTAGGTGAGACAAAGCTTAGTGGTACATGTTGAGTTTTTCAGCCTTGTTGACTCTAAAACCAAGAGAAAGCCACACTTGCTGGAGAAGTTTGATGTGTTTTACAAACAGTTGAAGCTGGTGCCCTTCTCAGCTATACAGAGTGCACTGAGTTGTTGGAGGCAGACTTTGGGGTACAGCTAAGTCCTGTGGTGATTGAATCATCCAAATCTTTTAGCTAAGCTTTAGGCACAGGTGAGATTCTTTCTGTGTTCTGATGGCTACAGAAGGCAATCTGACACCTCTTTAGATTTGACATCTCTCACCTTCACACTTAAAATTGGGTCACTTACAGCAAAGAGGAATTTCTGTATTTGCAGTTTGTTCAGCTGGTCTGTACGCTGTTGTTACCAGATTTTTCTGCTGTGGATTTTATCCAGTTGACTTGAAACTGTTGATACAAGATTCTCTTGCTGTCAGTTTCTCATAGTACTGTATATTTATGTTTTTATGGATACCTGCCTTATGTGTTTTAAGGATAGGAAGTATCATGCTAGGAACCTGCTATATTGTGAGGAAAAAAAAAAGTAATTCAAAACCAGCAAGCCTTGTCTCCAGATTACTTATATTTTTCCAGGTTATCAGTGCAAAAAACCCCAAACTTCTGGGATCTTTAGTGACTGTGAATGAAAAATATGTTGTTGGGTTTTTTGTTTGGTGGGTTTTGTTGGTTGGTTGGTTTTTTGTTTTGGTGGTTTTCTGGTTGGTTGGTTTTTTTTAAGAAATAGCTAGTGATTGCTAGCTCAGTATGTCTCTTTCATGCATACATCTCTTAAAGCCCAGTGTAGCAGATCTGGATGCAGCTGTAGGTGTGGTAAGTTCTTTGGACTACAT